AATACTGTCAGAGTCGGTAAAGTAAGTGTTTGAAGAATACTGTCAGAGTCGGTAAAGTAAGTGTTTGAAGAATACTGTCAGAGTCGGTAAAGTGAGTGTTTGAAGAATACTGTCAGAGTCGGTAAAGTGAGTGTTTGAAGAATACTGTCAGAGTCGGTAAAGTAAGTGTTTGAAGAATACTGTCAGAGTCGGTAAAGTAAGTGCATTCAAGGAAGTGGATAGTATATAATTTAATGTAGAAAATAAATAATTTTAAAGTCATTAATCTGTAGAATGACAATTGTATCATTCCTTTCGACGAGTGGGATGTAATTAATACCGCGTGAACTGTGCGTGTGACTTAAAGAAACTGAACAATCAACTGGTGATTTTCTCGCCTTATCTTTTGGGATCGAATACGTGATACTTGACGTGCGTCTCGATTAATACGTGGTGTACTTAAGCTTTTTGGTAATTAAAAACAGGTATACGACTGTCATAAGCAAGGCTTGATTTATCGCTGTTAATTAGGATTACAAAAACACGCCGTTATCTCTCCAATCTCAATCGTGCTTAAGGAAAAATAAATAAATAAACGAGAAAAAAATCGTTATTATAAAATATTCATCATGTAAGTTTACGTCAATACTGAAAGAAAATAACAACACTTAATTGCACTGAATCTGAATACTATCATAACGTTCCAGGAAAGTGACGTGTTCTTTGAATTACACCATTTACGTCTTTATAAATTACATCACAAAAAAGTCTAGCTGGGCTACATGTATGGGGATTTTTCAATTTAAGGATAATAGGCCTAACGTGCAGGTGGATGATTTGATGGATAATTTTCCTTTGTGTGATTAACAAATTATGTATAAAATGGGTCCTGAAAAGTACCCGATGTTTTCAGTTTGAGTTGTTTCCAATCTTCAAAATAACCGAACAGCTGAAACCTAAATTTTCCTCTACGTTTATCACAAAACAGGGATATCGCGAAATTATATGTATAAAATGGGTCCTAAAAGTACCCGATGTTTTCAGTTTGAGTTGTTTCCAATCTTCTAAATAACCGAACAGCTGAAACCTAAATTTTCCTCAACGTTTATCACAAAACAGGGATATCACGAAATTAATTTAAACGCTTGTTCGTAACGATGTTTTGTTTGAAACTGAAGCATGTTGATATGTATGAAGGGGGGGGGGGGTACTAAGTGAATAGATTGTCTTCAATGTGCTGCAAAGCCTCCTAATGGCTCAGTGGTAAATCTTATAACGCTAAAAACCGAATTTCGATACCCGTGGTGGGCACCACCCAGATATCCCATTGTGTTACTTTGCTCTTCACAAGAAGCAAACAAAAAATTTACTGTCTGTTCAGGTTTAAATTGTTGTGTATTTTTCATTTCTCAGGGATAATGTAATATGTATATACAAATATATTGACCTTCGTATGGATGTTTTCATAACTCTTCTTTCACGAGCATTAGTAACAAAGTACTGTTTTTGTGTCCCGTCCCTTGGCCATAGCTGGATTTCACAATGATGTATGAACACATCTGGTAACTACCCGGAAATATGTTTACTCACAAGTAAAACTAGTATTTTTCTGAACACCTTTGATTTCAGAACTACAGTTCACGGTTATATTTGGATTATTCTTAACTAATCTTCGTGTAAATATATATATTAGCATTGATGCTAACCCTATTTTCTTCTCAACTTTTCAGCGGAGAAGCTGTATCAGTGAAAGTTTTTTGTTTTGTTTTTTAACTCGGCAAACAAGAAGAGTGAGGCTCAGTCAATCTTGTCTGGGATTCGCCACTCGTCACCGTTTCGGGGGGTTCTACTCCTCATCAGTAAACCCTAGTCAAGGCGAATCTAATTCAGTGACGAATAGCGAACCTAAGAACGGATTGTGTCTTAAGACGAATATCGCAATTTTGGCGTTGTGGTAAAAAATTAAAAAAATAATTTTTTTTTTATCTGTATGTGACGATTCGGCCCCAGCATAAGTTACCTACAGTTCTTTCCTCAATTTACAGCGTTATCACTGAAGCGCCATTTTGAACAAAGGTCGCATTGTTTGTACATATTACTGTTTTCAAACTAAGCTGTCGTTGTATTGGTTGTTTTTTTTTTTATAAAGGCCTAAGTTTAAATCCCGTGGCTCATATTTAAAAAAAAAGCATATAATTTGTTCTATTCAATTTGTCGAAAACACTCCTAGGAAAAGTTAAAACATTGGAATGAATTTAATCAAATAAAATAAGTTCAAAATCTAAACTTAAAGAAACCTAACAACAACTTCAGAAACTAATCTTATTACGCTTACTTTGCGAAAAGAATAGCAACTTTCAACTTTAAGCTTCCTGTTTAAGCCTGTTTGCCGATAGCATTCGCATGCGAAAGTTGATTGGATTTATGAATTTAAAAGATACCCAACTTATACTGAACAAAATACTAGCTTACTGTGTTGTTTTTGAAGGATGTGTAGTTAATACAAAGGTTCTGCTTTAGATAACATTAAATATAGAAGAAATATTTTTCTATTCCACGTGTTTATTAAACTCATTGAAAAAGGAACTTATAAAAAGATTGGTTTCTAAAGTTTTCGGTCAGACTGGAGAATGAGATACGCCATTTTTTCTCTGTGTAGAATTATGGTGTTAGTATTTTATCGAGTTTCGTGTATGCTGTATAACTCGTAGATCCAACAGTATTGTTGTAGCATGTTAACCGTGTAATAATTTTAACCTGCCCCTGAAAGAGTCTAAAACCTCAATATTTGAGCATTTTTTCCCACCTAAAAAATTACAAAAATCATATTCTAATTTTCTCTGAATTTTGTTTTTTTGTTGGTAACTTTAACATTTTGGTTATTTTGTGCTTTACAGTTTGATAATTTCATTTTCTTAATTCGCTGACACTAACTTGCTGACATTTTATATCCAAATATAAATATATAAATTACACTGGAAAGCGAGAACTCTCGCCATATTAATACACGATATTAATATTGTTTTATTGTTTTGTTAGAAACACGAAGAAATTTAAGTAAGTGTAATATTATCATATGGATGCCAAATATTCTTAAAACTTAAACCATAAAATTTAATAATTAAATATATTATATATATATATATATAAATGTGTGTGTTTGTGTGTGTGTGTGTGTGTAACGATTTAGAATTTTAATTAATATCAC